ATTTGAGAGGCTTGAGTAGCTATTAATATATGGAGAGGCAGATGCAAGTGAGTATTTAGTGATTTGGTTGGCCTGCTAAGGAAGGTTATCCCTGCGGATTGAATTCCCTCAAGTAAGCGTGAAAACCTGTTTGAGCACTGGCCTAATCTTGTAAGTCTGCATTCCCCAGATTCTTGACATTCCAGTTGGAAGTCGAAAACTCTGAAAAGCTGTCTAGYCTCTCGTATKCCGYGGGCCTAGGCCCCTTGGYGTTTTCTCGTCAAGATTATGCTTGCGTGCTCTTCTTGTCACCCCCAATAAATGCGATGGAAATTTTTCAAAAACAAGTCACTATGCTTTGATTCAAGTGGTATTTAATTGGCTCATTCTTTTCAACACAAGCATGTTGTGGGGGTCAATAGATCATTCATTCCATTCTATCATGTTTCTTCCATTCATTCCATCCATCCTCCTACCCACACATTGATGCACCTCATCTTCTAATACTTGTATGCAGCCCGTAAAGTCCTCCACTGATTTTGTAAAGCACCATTGAGCTCCTGGAAATGGCGCTATATAAATTCATCCCTTTTCTCTCATTCGTCCACCCCCTATAGCCCATCCAAACCAATCTGTTATATCCTATCTTATTCCTCCCTTCTACATCACCCAATTCTTTCCTACCCAACCCATCATTTTGTCAGTCTATCCTTCAATCCATCCTACCCATGAATTCCATTCCATTGCACTCCATTTTATCTCCATTTTATCCCACCCATCCTATTTTTTTATTTTTTATTTTAACAATACAGGGATATCTCATTTAGCCAGCTAGAGAGAGAGCCTTGTAAAACCCTTTCATCCATCCATCTCACACCTTTCTCCAACCTGTCCATCCCATTCACCCATCCATCTCATCCTAACCATCCACCTATCCATTTCACTCACTCTTMCATCTCACCCCACCCATCTATCCATCCCACTCACTCTTACATCTCACTCCACCCATCTATCCATCCCAAGCACTCTTACATCTCACCTCACCCATCTATCCATCCCACTCACTGTTCCATCTCACTCCACCCATATATCCATCCCACACACTCTTCCATCTCACCCCACCCATCTATACATCCCACACACTCTTCCATCTCACCCCACCCATCTATCCATCACACTCACTCTTACATCTCACTCCACCCATCTATCCATCCCAAGCACTCTTACATCTCACCTCACCCATCTATCCATCCCACTCACTCTTCCATCTCACTCCACCCATCTATCCATCCCACACACTCTTCCATCTCACTCCACCCATCTATCCATCCCACACACTCTTCCATCTCACCCCACCCATCTATCCATCCCACTCACTCTTACATCTCACTCCACCCATCTATCCATCCCACACACTCTTCCATCTCACTCCACCCATCTATCCATCCCACACACTCTTCCATCTCACCCCTACCATCTATCCATCCCACCTCCTCTTCCATCTCACCCCACCCATCTATCCATCCCACACACTCTTCCATCTCACCCCACCCATCTATCCATCACACTCACTCTTCCATCTCACCCCACCCATCTATCCATCACACTCACTCTTCCATCTCACCCAACCCATCTATCCATCCCACTTACCCATCCATCTCATACCACATATAAAATCCATCCCACTCATACACCTATACATCTCATTCCACCCATCTATCCATTCCACATACTCTTCCATCTCACCCCACCCATCTATCCATCCTACTAACCCACCCATCTCACTTTGAACCATTTGAA